AGCTCCTCTCACAGAAGACTAAAAGAAAACAGTCCTTAAAGATACAGTAGTTACACAGCATGTCAAACTGTCTTTAAAATTATTTAAAGAGTCAAAATGGCAAGTGAAGTGCAAGCATGTATGAGGGGGAACAATTTGGTTGTAAATGCAAGATGGTGAGAGATTTATCTTCTCAAATTTTCACAAGGTTGAAGGGTTTAAAAAAAAAAAAAGGGACACTACCAACTGATACATCCATTTCGACAGGTGGATTGTAGTACATTCCTAATATTTCTACAGTCTTTACATGAAGAATTGAGACTGACATTAGTCATTTTGTACTGTGAAGTATCATTTGGAAGCACCGATTTAAGTTATACAAACAAGCTGAGGCAATAGTCTATTAATTTTCAATCTTGCTCTTGTGCGGGCCGGGCGAGCCCCGGGCCCTTTTTCGCGCTGCACGCGGGCTGTGGCTGGCAGCCCGGGCACACGGGGCGGAGAGGGGTGGCTTTCGCTCTGGAATTAGGCACGGACGCGTATCGGTAGTTTAAAAGATTGTTTACTTACACCCAGATGGCAATGGTGTAGGCTGGAAAGCTTGCTTCAGTTACAGAGAAGAAAAAGATAGAGAGGCGGACAAGAGTTCTAGACTCGTGAACTCTAGCCCAATCCGGCTGAAGGCTCTGTATTCGCGAGCCCGTCGCGTCAGCCGAAGAAAGTACTCGTCCGGAAGATAGAGAAGAGCTCTGGATGAACTCACGCGAAGTTTGCTAGGCTCCGTGGGTCCAGTTCGTAGCGCGCGGGTGGGGTACGTCTAGGAATTCTATCGGCGACGGGGAGAGGCTAGAGATTGATCAGATCTCCGTAGCCTGCTTCAAATGCACTGGGTCTGTGAGGATCCGCAGCGCTTAGAGATCTTCACATAGCATGAAGTCTCCTCCTCCCGGTGTTCGTGGAGTCCTCCCTTGCGGGGGTTCTCCTCAGAGTTCTCCAACTTGGGCGGAAACCACCCAAGCCTCTTATACGGCTAGCAAGCCAATCACTAGCCGCCACGTGTGAATAATTTAGAACTGGCCAATAATGGGACCCAAATCTGCATACAAATGGCGGGAACTCTTTGCAACGAACACTTCTGTGCTGCAACAAAGAAATGGACCCTGCAAAGAAAGCTTCGAATTGGCGGGAAAATTCTCCCTTGCACCGGGGTTCTCTTTTGCAGCAGAAAACTCCACCGTGCAAGGAAGCTTGCAATTTAGCGGTGACAATTTAGTAGTGCCGAAGCGCGCACAAATAAAAATCACACCTTTTGGGTTGTGACAGCTCTCCCTTCACTTGCCCTATGCACACACCTGTTCAGAGTTAGTTAATGTGACTGAAGGCACATTTTTGCATGTATTCTTCTGCTCCCTATCAACTAATAAAGTCAAATCCCAAAAAATAAAGGGGAAAAGCAAAAACTGGCCTCAGGGGAGTACTACATCCATCCACTGCTGCAGGGCTTCTGTCTCACTTACTTCAGGACTCCAAGCCAAATAACATGGAAGATACTGTACTGAAATTACCATGTTTCACAATATGTTAATTAAAAACCTCTAATTTTGAATTTATCTAAAGCTCACCGAGTAATGCAAAGTAATGTAGTATGTGCTAGAAATTGGGGAGGTACTTTTTCACAGAACTTGAGCCTAATGTGCACCAGGATATGCTAGCTGCACTCTGAGGCCCCCTCTACATATTACAGGTGTTGCACAATTACCTGGTTAATTGTACAATTAACTGAAACCAGCTACCTATGCAAAGTAGCTATCATGCCATAAAAGGTTCAACCAGCTATAAAGTTAGACCTCAGAAATGTGTACTAACTTAATAGCTGCTTGGTATCCAGACTTAATTTGCATGTGTAGCAGACCACAGGAGGTGTGATGGAGTCTAATACACAATCACACCTTCTGCTAATACACATGTGGCATGGCAGGAAGTACTATTGTTGATTGTGCATTAGGTCCCATTGCACATTTACCTGCTTGTGTAGAGGGGCTCTGACAGTAATAACTCAGTGCTTTGCTGGAAATGAGAGCCTGCTTTATGGTTACTAGTGTCTCAGAACTTTGTATTCCAAGTATGTCAGTTGCGTAACAATGAAGGTTAAATGGTTGACTGGTCTTTTTGAGCCGCAAGACTGACCTTTAAGAGGGTGGCTGTAATCGCCTTGTAAACAGGGCCTGCTAGTGAAACATGTTCTGTATTGCACAGAGCGATGGGTTTATACAAATTAGCACTTGACTTCTTTATACAAGTTTTTTTAACATCTGCTTGTAAAGTGATACTACCAACCTGTAAGAGGCCTACTTGGAGAAAAAAATACTTGTTTTACTTTGCAGTGTGTTGAATTAGAAGAGAGACTGCCAAAGGAGAAAGTATCAGTCCAAATCGGGGAAAGATTGACTTTTTCAAATTGCAACACCCCTCATCACAATAATTTTAATTAGTACAAGATACATAGTCTAGATCCACTTCAAGTCATAGTAAATCACTTTTTCCTTTAAAGGAGGCTGGGGCTATTTTTGCAGTAAGTTGGGCAGTGTCAGTGTGATGCAATGCAGTGCTGTGCTGAAGAAGCTTGATGTGCCTATATTGTTTCTGGTACTTGAGTTAGCTTGTCCAGACCCAGCCGTAGTATATTTCTACATGGCCCGGTGTTCTGGGGTGTGGACAAAACCATAAAGCTAATTTATTTCAACAAAATAAAAGGAATGCTATAAGGAAATGACTTTTTTTAACTGAAAAAGAGGCTTCTTAGTAGGAAATGTATAGCAAAACTTCCATTAAACTGTTTTAAAGACATGCAACAAAATTAATTTGAGAACACCTCTGATAAGAACTTACAAATGCTAAGCTAAACCAGAAAACAGCACTAACTTCAGACTTGAAGGCACTGCTGTTATAGTTTACATATAGGAGTATCTTAAACATTTTTAAGAACATGTTCTTTAAGCCTCTCCATTTATTAGGGATCTTCTGATTTCACAAGTGACAGGATGGGGACAGGAGATGGGAGGGGGAAGGGAGGGGGATTAAGGCAGGCACAAGCACAGAGCAGGGCAAGTTGCAGGGGGTGTGGGAGTACATAGTGGGGACAGGCAGTAAGGGGGAGGCATAGGGATGGGGGAGCAAAAGTTGGAGGAATGGAGGACAAGTGGCAGGGGGGACAGGAACAGGCATGGTAAGGGCAGGCCTGTTGGCTCCCCATCTCCCATCCCCACTTTCCCTGCCACAGCTGTTGGGGGTGGGGGGGGCACAAATTTAAGATGACCCCCCAGTAATTAAGTTATTGACGTGGGAAATGATAACAAATTTAAAGTTGTCCATGCATAGAATCTAATAACTGGAGAGTTGTCTTAAATTCAAAGTCCTCTTGAATTCAGGTAAATCCAGTATATTTAAGGTGAAGCATATGAGCCAACAGCATGCTCTTGTTGCAAAAAAAAAAAAAAAAAAAAAAAGAAAAAGGCCAACAACATACTGGGGTGAATTAACATGAGTGTCCTTTGCAAATTAAAGGAAGTATATTCTTCTGCTATTCATCATTGGCAAGGCCTCACATGTATTACTGTGTCCAGTTTTGGGCCCCTCACTTGAAGAAGGATTTGGACAGTTTTTTTAAGAGTCCAGTGCAGAACAACAAAAAGGATCAGGGGCCTGGGAGACTAGACTTATGAGGAAAGGCCGAAAGAGCTAGAGTTATTTAGCCTGGAGAAGAGAAGACTGAGAAGGGATCTGATAATAGTCTTCAGATACCTGAAGGATGATTATAGAGGGGATGGAGACGGGCTTTTCTCGGTGGCTGTAGGAGACAGGGCTAGAATCAGTGGCCTCAAGCTTCATCAGGGGAAATTTAGGCTGGAGATCAGGAGGAACTTTCTGATTCTGAGGGTGATCAAGTATTGAAACAGGCTACCTAGAGGAGTTGTGGAATCTCTACACTTTGAAACTTTCAAAAGCAGGTTAGACACACTTTGCAGGAATAATCATGCCTTGAGCAGGGGCTGAAGTAGATGACCTTGTGAGGTTCCTTCCAGCCCTACTTTCCTGCAATTCCTATGATAGTTTAACCCACTTATTTCAGGAGTGAAATCTTCCTGTGTCCTATAGTTATCTTTTAGCTCTGCTGTCTTTCTATCTGCTGCAAGATCCTAGGCTGTTTTGTTTTGTGAGCAACAGTGTCTAGAGGGATTCAACTCGTGTAATATTTTTTAAGGTTTTGGAAAGCATCCTTTGTTTCTTCTTTTAGTGGGGAAGAAAAATCCAGTCACCATGGTAACATTTGCCCACACTGCAAATCTGTCATTTAGGGTTTCTCCCAAGATTTTTTACACATACTGTAGCCACCACTGTTATTAAACAAACTATTAATAATTCTTTAGCCCTGATTTAGGATTTTTTTTTAACTTTAGTTTCTGTCTCCAGGTACAGTCAGTCATGCACACCTCTAAGTAGCTCAGTTTGCATAATCTTCGCTTGCATTTATCTCTTGCTTTTTTTTTTTTTTTTTTTTTGACCTCTGGAGATGCTTATTCATTTGTCTAAATTTGCAAGGTACCTGGGAAACTAGTTGTCAACCACATGTCATATATTCATTGGAGCCTACTGCTTCCTTATTTATCCATTAACTTTTTCATATAGTTTCATTTTAGATAAAGCCTACTTTCTCATGCATTGAGTTTTTTTTAATATTTTGAAAGTTGTTTGATACTGCATTTAAAGCTGTGTTGGGTTTTTTTTGTCCCAGTTGGTCATATAATATTTTTAATGTAATGCATTAATAATCTGCTCATTTGTTCCTATTTGATGTCTGAAAATTTATCTTTAAATCAGTTGTTGACTTACATTTTAATAGTAAACATAAGTGGCAGTGTAGTTAGCCTGCATTTAAAGGCTTAGTTATGCATTTTTTACTCATTACAAAATAGGAATTGTAAACTGTATCCAATACACAAGGATTTTCTTCTCCCTCTTAGGAATATCCCTGGGACACTGAGGATGCCATTGGAATGCATTTGGGTATAAACAATGACTTGCCTTTCGCATGTCTTCCACTACATTTGCTTAAAGCCCTTCTGAACGTCTTCTAATTGAACTGGTTCAAACCAAACTGTCTCTGGGATCATGAGTGAAGAAAAGAACCTTGGTGTATCCCAAAAAATGTTATCACCTTCAAGAAGTACCAGCAGTTGCTCCTCCAAGCATGGAAGTAGACAGGTAAACTTCACTGATTTCTATTTCTTTAGAAACTGATTACAGAAATAGTCAATTTTATTGGCCTTGGTGAGCAAAATTATGTTCTTTTAAAATGTGTTTTCCAGCTGATGCTTTGTCATCTCTCTCTCTCTCTCTGTCTCTCTCTCTGTCTCTCTGTCTCTCTCTCTGTCTCTCTCTCTGTCTCTCTCGCTCTCTCTCCCCTTTGTTGTTTTTCTCTTTGGCTGGTACAACAACTTGGCTTCAGCTAAATGAAATAAATTCATGCTATTGAATAGCAGTTGCTGATCATGGGCGCAGGCAGAAGAGCAGCTCCCCATTGCAGCTTATAGTGCTTTGCAGGAAGTGCTGAGTTGTAGTGGTCTCCCAGATGCAACAGAAGTTCATTGTTGTGTCTGGGAGTTAGGGATTCCAGCTGCTTGCTGCAAGTCTGCAGCCTGGTCTCCGTTGCAATGCTGCTCCCCCATCCCAGCCCCCATGCTATTTTCAGAATGGAAGGGGGAAAGGGAGCAGAAGGAGCTTGTTCTTTGTTCCCCAGCCCCCGCTAGTACTTTTTTTTCGCCCCGCCCCCCTCGTGGTGGGGGGGGGGGGGGGGATTGGAGCCCCCCCCCCACACACACACTTTGAGGGGAGCCAGGGCTCCCATCCACCTACCCCACCCTCTGGCACAGCTGAAAAAAACCCAAGCCCAACTCCCTCCTCTACTCCCTTTTCCCCCCTCCTCCCATTCTGGAAACAGTGACAGACTGGGAGCTCTGCAGATACCAGCTACAGAACCTGCTCTGTTTTGGATTGTGTTCATCTGAGCCCTTGTGAAAATCTGAACCCTTATTGCACAGAATCAAGCCCTTTTATAGCTGTCTGCAGCCATGCACATCTATTTGGTCACAGCTGTAGGCTGCTTTCTGGGGCCAGATCAGGTAAAAAGTCCACTTGTCATGTTGCAAGGAGCAGTGGAGAATCTGGTTAATACTGCTCTTTCACAGTAGATGTATGCATACAGAAGCTTTTGTGGCCTCTTGGTCAGCCCCTTCCCACCCCCCAGTCACCCTTGCAATAATTTCTCCAGAGATTATTGCAAGGCTTTGCTCTTTTGGTGAAAGTTTATTCAAGCTTTTGATAAATGGGAAACTATGAGTAATATGAGTGTAAAAGACCAACTGTTTGTTCTTAGTACGTTGCCTACACTTAAGCTGAGAATTTTCCTGCAAGTACAGAGTTGTAGTTGTGTGAAAGTAATTAACTAGTTACAGCACAGAGCTTCTGGATGCTACATGCATATATCAAAAACTGCTTTTTGCCCAATGGCAGTCAGCTAATATGTTTGTTTGCTTGTTTTAAATAATTAGTTTTCAAAGTGCTACCACAAGTGTTTGTGCCTCAAAATCAAAATGTGCTTATATATAACAGTGTTGTGTAGGGTCAAACAATCAGTGAATTTCAGCCTCATTGGAAATTTGAGGCATTACATGCACCTTTTTAAGGCATTATTTGAACTTTTTTGTTTTGTAAGAGTGTGACTGACAAGCTCTCAATAAACTGGTGAACATCAGACATGGGTTGGGTCATTTTCAAAGCTGCCTATAATTCCTATTTTAATAGGAATTGAGCATCTAGATCTCTGGCAGCTTTGAAGAATCTTGGCTAGTGTGGTTAGTTCCACACACAAAGAAAGTGTCAACTCTTTGAATACATTCTGCCTGTTAAGCAAGATAATACATCCAATTTTAGACTTTTGAGTCTAGGAAAAATTAAGTTTTAGGGTAAACTTTTTTTTTTTTTACTTCATATCTCCTTCTGCTGGGGGGGCTTCTTCCTCTGTAAGCTTAACTTGAAACAAATTCTATTTCAAACACAAGACATTAATTAAGTCTATTTCTAGAGCTAATGTCAATCAAACATGATCAGTATATAGTATTTCAATGAAATGTAATAAGATTTACATAAGCAGGGCTAAATACCAGTAGAGTATATTACATCCACAGTGTACACATGCATTAGATCCGGGAGCAGCTTACTCGCGAGTAAACTACTTGCAAGTAAACACTCCTGATCAGGCATCTACACGTGTAGGCTGGGCAGGCATCTACATGTGCAAAGAAGTGGGAGCAGATTTGCTGCTAATGGCAGCAAATTGCTCTCACTTTCTGGGGCCCTGCAAGGGGCCCTTGTGACCACCATGGGAAGTTTTAGACTCCTCCCTAGGTGCTAGCCCAGGGGCTGGCAGGGAGTACCAGGCCAGGAGACAACTTTCCCACCCCTACAGCTCTTTCCAAGCCCTTCACCTTGATTGCCTGATTGGGGTGTGGAGCTGGGACAGTTCCCAGTCCCTGTTCCAAGATCACAGGGCAGGGGCTGGAGAGCTTGTTCCATGCTCAGCTTCGTGATTGCAGATCTGGGTGTGGAACAGGCTAGAGATCTTGTTTCCTGCTCAGCTCTGCATTCACAGAGGTGGGTGGGGAACGGGCTCCCCAGGTCCCACCAGCAGGGAGCTCCCATTGCCAGCTCCACAGTCAAGGGCCTGGCACCGACTCCATGGTCATGGGGCCGGCAAATCCTTGGGGATTTGCAATCTCGGAGGTGGGGGCTTGGAGCACCCACCCGGGCTCTGGTGGCGGAGCTTGCCCCAGGAGCAGGATGATCCCGGGGGCAGGGAGCAATCTCCCTGGTGGCTGGCTGACTGGAAACAGATTTGTTCTGGGTCAGGCATCTACGCAACCATTACTGTGCAGTTAGTAATCGCAAGTGAATTTGCTACTTGTATTTGCAGGTAGCAGACTTACTCACGATTAGCAAGGTTTACTGTGCAGTAAACGTGTGCATGTGTAGACACACATACTTACTGCCCAGTAAACTGCTACTTAGCAGTAAAGCATCTCATGTAGACATACCCAGTGAAAACAATCCTACGTTTTGTAAGCATAGTTTCTGTAAGAAAAGCACCCATTGGTGGGCCTTGGTGGCTTTGCTGGCCAGAGTGTTTTAGAGAGAGTCCACGTGCTACCCCCTCTGTGTCTGCCTGCTTTATGTTGATGCTGTGCGTTTCTGACTCTAGTACCCATTAAGCCAGGGTCTGGATAGTCGGCACTAGTTGGAGTGTCCAGGGGATTGGAGGTGGGAGGGGATAGGTCGGTGATTCTCAACCAGAGTTCTGTAGTACCCTTGGGATGCTTTGAGATCATTTCAAGGGTGCCCTGCGGTATATACAGTGTCAGCACCGTTAGGTGTGCAAACATGATTAATTTGAAATCTCTGGATTTATATAGGAAGCCACAGTGTTCAAAATATTCAGACCTGTTTTGGTTTTTTCTGAGTTATTTGCAACAGCAGAATTGTTCTATTATTCTTATGTAATCTAAAATGAGTAAAAGGCAGGAGCTGGCATTTTCAAAGAGGTGCCTCAAGTCCAAAAAAGTTGAGAGAGACATAAATTAACCCTCACCCCAGTGTGTCTGTCTTGTTTTTGTTGGCACGGGGCCAGCCAACTAACCAGCCTTCCTTCAATCCTTGTAATTTATTAAATGCTAGGTAAGTTGCTCAACAACCCAGGTCAGGTGAGATGGAGGTAAAGAGCTGGATGTTTCTTGGATTGTGAGGGGGCCACAGTTCATATTTGCTCATAATAATGTGGAACCTGGTGATTTATACCCTTCTTTTGAGAAGTACGTAATACTTCTCTCTTCAGAAGTGCTTTATAGATATTCTTAATAACAATATTCCAGGTGGGTAATTTTTGTGTGTGGGGAAACTGGGGCTTGTAAATCAAGTGACTTGAATAAAACTTCTGAGAGTTTAATGTCAGAACCAAACACAGAACCAGAGGGAATTCTTCTAGTTGCTTTTATCTTCTAGAACACATGACCACTAAAGCACATCTTTTAGATGAAGTATAAAGAAAGGCATGCTGAAAAGCCATGGCTGATACACAGTTAAAAGTACAGAATGTTCCTTAGGAAACACATTTCTACGAAATTGGTCATGCATATCAGCTCTAAATAGTAGTGAAATCTTTTATAAAGGTTTTTATTTATTTATATTTTTAATACGGAGTTGTAATTATTTTTAGTATAACTTGTTATCCTCTCTTTTGGAAAATGTGCTTTGTAGATTTTGATTATTTTCAGTACAAGATGCAGCAATTGTCAGATACAAACAAGAGATCAAGTAGTCCTTCCCTCAGCATAGCCTAGTCCTGGATAAAATTCAGTTCTTTGAAACTAATTGATAGATTTACAGCACCATTATCAGGACTTCTGGAAGCAGAGTTTCTTTCTACTGCTATGATATTGATATTCATTGTTTAACTCTACACTTGCATAGGCATATTAAAAATCACTGGGTTTTTTTCTTTGGAATTTTCATACAGTTTACAAATTGAGGTCTGTTTCAAGGGATATTTTTTTCAGTAGCAATGTATGGATACTTTCTGTCTGGATGTCTATCCCAAAATAACCCATATGTAGAAAATTAAAGGAATTTCAACTTGTACATTTTGCTTTGAGAAGTGATCTAGCCAGTTTCCTTTCTGACTTTTAGAAGTTCCAGTGTTAAATACAACTGTTAAGTGGTCATGATATGCAAAAGTAATTTTTAAGGAAAAATTATATTCTTTCTCTTGTGTATGAAGAGGGAGAGATTTGGGACCTAAGTGGGCACTATACCACCTGTTCAGGAATACCTGAAAAGGAGGAAGCATACCGCAGGATGACCTGCTAGTTGTGTGCTTAGTATTTCCCATGCTGCTTCTAATTGCCTTGCTGCCAGTGCAGGGAGAGAGCGATCTTCTTCATAATTCAGTGTAAATGTATTCTAAAGAACCTCCCTTGACTCCTGGACATAAGGGAGAGAAATTGGGTTATAAGTCCTGCAGAAATTTCACAATCTTTTGGTATGCTAACTATGGTGTTGATAACCAAGATAAATTACCTTATTTTGGATAAGGAGAATTTTACAAGGTTGGGTTGTCTCCTTGGAAAGAATTTCTGTCCTGTGTAATCTCTTTCAAATCTGTGCGACAGTACTATTTGTGCCTGTCTATGTGGGAAAGA